GGACTCCAGAGGAAATAACCTGAACAGAGGCAATAACGCGAGTTTTAGTGACATAGAGTCTAGGATGCCATGGAGTCTGTTCTGTCACTTAGCCCGTGAGCCTTGGATGGCTCTCTGTTGCCTTCTTTAAAAAATGGGGATCGTCCCACCTACACCTCAGAGGGCCAAGTATCTATTTGGCAGCGTGAAACAAGGCAACCTCTACCAAGCATGCATGCTTTACTGCTCATTGACATGTGCACTCAAAATGTTCGCATCCTTTCCTTGGCCTCAACAAGAGTAAGTGTTTGTTTTTTTTAACTACTTATTCTTGTATTGATTTTTAGGAAGAAAGGAAGGGAGAGGAAGAGAAACACTGACGAAAGAGTGAAACATGGATAGGCTGCCTTCTGCATGCCCCCTACCGGGGATCAAGCCTGCAAACCGGGCATGTGTCCTGGCCAGGAATGGAACCAGTGACCTTTTGGTGCACAGGACAATGCCAAACTAACTGAGCCACATCGGCCAGGGCAAGAATATGCTCTTCAGCCGGGACCGGTTTGGCTCAGTGGATAGAGCGTCGGCCTGCGGACTGAAAGGTCCCGGATTCAATTCTGGGCAAGGGCATGTACCGTGGTTGCGGGCACATCCCCAGTAGGGGGTGTGCAAGAGGCAGCTGATCGATGATTCTCTCTCATCGATGTTTCTAACTCTCTATCCCTCTCTCTTCCTCTCTGTGAAAAATCAATAAAATATATATTATTAAAAAAAAGAAAAGAAAAGAAAAGAATCTGCTCTTCAAAAGTGCTGCAACAGAAGAACAGGATGGGAAATTAATGAAAGTTTGTTTCAAATCTTACACTGAAGAGCACAGAGAGTACAAAGGAACCCTACTGCCCTAGCCAGTTTGGCTCAGTGGATTGAGTGTCGGCCTGCGGACCAAAGGGTCCTAGGTTCGATTTGGGTCAGGGGCACATACCTTGGTGGGAAGGTCCTCCCCAGCCTGGGCCCTTGTGCAGGAGGCAACCAATTGATGTGTTTCTCTCACATTGATGTTTCTCTCTGTCTTTCTCTCTCTTCCACTCCCCCTGAAAATCAATGGGGGAAAAATATCCTCAGGTGAGGATTAACAATAAAAAAACACACAAACACACACACCCACACACAAAGGAACCCTACTGGAGGAAGATCTTGGAAACTGAGGGTGCCTAGGACTCAATGCCAGCGGTGCAGGCACAGGCAGGCTCCTGGGGGCCAGGTGCAGAGAATCCAGCTGGAGGAAAAGAGGTTGCTTAAGGCAGCTCACTCCTACACGCTGACAGCCCTCAGGAAATCACATGAGCTTTCCTGGTGAGGAAATAAATACCTTTTCCCTTAAATTCATGCATCCCGCCCAGAAGTCAAAGGCATCCTACAATTTAAGAATTCCAGGTTTCCAGAAGTCACAGTTTCTTCCTGCACAATTTTTAAAAAAATATATATTTTATTGATTTATTTTTTATTTTTTATTTTTACAGAGAGGAAGGGAGAGAGATAGAGAGCTAGAAACATTGATGACAGAGAAACATCAACCAGCTGCCTCCTGCATACCCCCAACCGGGGATGTGCCCAAAACCAATGTACATGCCCTTGACTGGAATCGAACCTGGGACCTTTCAGTCCGCAGGCTGACGCTCTATCCACTGAGCCAAACCGGTTTCAGTCCTGCATGATTTTTTTAAATTGTGCTGAAAAAAAAAACAAAAACAAAAACACACACACACACACACACACAAAACATAAGCTCACAACCATTCCTCAGCGTGCCGCTCAGTGGCAGTAGATCCTTTCTCACTGTTGCCCAATCTCCAGGGCTCTCATCTTGCAGAACTGGAATTCTGTTCCCATTAAACAGCTCCCTGCTTCCCCCGCCTGGGGGCCCCAGACAACCATTTCTATGAATTGGACGAGTCTGGGCACCTCACGTAAGTGGGATCATAAAGTGTTTGTCTTTTTGTGTCTGGCTTATTTCACTCAGCACAATGTCAAGGGTCACCCTTGTAACATCTGTCAGAATTCCCTTCCTTTCTGGGGGGGAATAACATTCCATGGTACGTACAGACCACATTTTGTTTATCTATCATTGTCTGCCGATGGAGACACTTGGGTTACTTTCACCTCTTGACTGTTGTGAAGTACGCTGCTGCTACGAACATGAATGTGCAAACGGGCTACCACTCACTCTGTAGTCATTCAGCAAATGTTTACCAAGTGCAATGGGCAAGGCCTGAGGATCAAATGAAGGTCAATCCATGTACAGCACAGCCCTCGGGATGCTTGGCAAGAGCCGGCATCTGATCTAGTCAGAGTGGGTGGGGAGTGCAGGGTGCTCACCATGAGCAAAGGACATTGGGATGAGTTCTGAACAATGAATAAGAGGGAGGGAGGGAGGGAGAGAGGCAGGGAGGCAGGGAGGGAGGGAGGGAGGACACTCAGGACCTAAAGAACAACACAGGGCCAAGACCCGGAAGAAGGCCAGAGAGCATGGCCATCCAAACCCTGCAGCCTGTTCTGACCAGCAGTTTGTTGTTCAAATGGCCATTTTGTGGTGGACAGCTGCCTCCTTGAGAAGGTCTCAGGAATGTAAGGATTTCTTTCTCAAGGATTCCTAACTTCCAAATTCACATATTCAAGCTCATTTACTGAGCAGCAATCCACTGGTCCTGTGGATGGAAAGACAGACAACCCTGATCCCACCCGAAGGCAGTCACAGCCCCTGGGGAAGGGGGACCTTGAGCACAGCGCTGCGAAGACAACCGCGGAGAAATAAATACACCAGGCTCGTTCATGCCACCAGCATTCCGGGAACCTCTGGGATACAGTGTCAGACCCTGTTCTAGGTCCTGGGGGGATCACAAGCCCACACCCTCCCCTCAAAGGAGGAGACAGGCACCAAAACTGGTTTGGCTCAGTGGATAGAGCGTCGGCCTGCAGACTGAAAGGTCCCGGGTTCAATTCCGGTCAAGGGCATGTACCTTGGTTGCAGGCATATCCCCAGCAGGGAGTGTGCAAGAGGAAGCTGATCGATGATTCTCTCTCATTATTGATGTTTCTAACTCTCTATCCCTCTCACTTTCTCTCTGTAAAAAAATTAAGTGTGTGTGTGTGTGTGTGTGTGTGTGTTGTTTGTGTGTGTGTGTATATATATATATATATTTTTTTTTTTTTTTCAAGGAGGAGACAGATAATAAACAAGTAAACATTTTATAATCTCAGGTAGCAGTCAGTAAGGGCCATGAGATGTGACATTGGGAAGAACCAATGATAAGAAACTCTGGACAGCCCTCCAGAGAGAGAGAACAGCAGATGCAAAGGCCCTTGGGAGAAACAAGGTTATTATGTTCAGGGAAGAAAAAGGGCCACGAGGGGCTGGAGAAAGGTGGGTGATGGGTAAGTCGATGGCCTAGGTGGGAGTTACTCACTGGGGGGAGGGGGGTGAAGGGGGTGCACCAGCCCTGGGGAAGGCCCACCTCCCCCTCAGGGCTCTGAGGGAGCTCAGTGCTGGAGGGTGACTGATGTGTTGGTGGGTGGAACTTCTAGGAAGAGGGAACTGCACGGTCACAGCCAGGAGGGATGACCTTCAGGGTGAATTCAAGACGCTACACACGTACTCCATGTGCCTGAGCAGTCACCTGCTCGGCACACACATCCTCAGCACGGACAGAGATGTCAAAATAACTCAATCTACAGCGTGGGAGCCTTCAAACACACCGGCCCTGGGGACCAGGGATGAGAAGGTTACGAGAGCTGCAAAGACAGGAAGTCATTAACACGCAGCGCAGCACCAGACCGAAGACCCCAGACATGCTCACCGGACGCCCACGATCCTGTGAGCTGGCTCCCGCTGGCCGCAGCCTGGAACCCTGACCTCCAAGGCTGGGGCGGGCGCGAAGCAAAAGGAACCTAATTCGTCGCCGGCGGGCACAGAACACCGCGCGGCCACTCTGGAAAGTGGTCCGATGGGTTCTTACAAAATTACTCGTAAACCCACTCTCACCAACCACGGGACCCAGCAATCGTGCTCCGTGGTGCTCACCCGAGGCAACAGAAGCTCACGGCCACGCAGAAACCTGCGCACGGATGGTTAGAGAGGCTTTATTCGGAATTGCCAGGACCTGGAAGCAACCAAGACGCCCTTCGGGAGGTGGACAGATAACAACGGCGGTCCATCCAGACAACGGAACACGACTCAGAGCGGGAAAGATGAGCTGCAGGGCCATGAAAAGACGTGGAGAACACCGAAATGCACGTGACCAGGTGAAAGGCGCCCACCGGAAAAAGCTGTATAACTGCAGGATTCCCAATCTATAACCTCTGAAAAAGGCAAAACTACAAGACAATAAATAAAAAGATCAAGGGTTAGAAGATTGGAGAGAGAGGAAGGGAGGGAGGGAGGGAGGGACAGCGAAGTAGCAGGGCATGGAAGATGTTTAGGGCAGTGAAAATACTCCGTACGGAACCATAATGATGGGATGCATGTCATTATACATTTGTCCAAACCCACATGTAAGAGTGAACTGTAAGGTAAACGATGGGCTTTCGGTGATAAGGACGTGTCAGTGTAGGCTCATCAGCTGTAATGAATGGACCACTCTGGTGTGGGATGTTAATAATGGGGGAGGCTGTGCCTGGGTGGGGCGGGGGGTATCTGGGAAATCTCTATACTCTTCCCTCAATTTTGCTGCAAACCTTCAACTGCTCTAGAAAGAAATAGTCTTAATTTAAAATACACACACACACACACATATACACACACACATATACACACACACACACACACACATATGGGATACATATCATTATACATTATCCTATCCTACACAATAAGAGCCTAGCGACCGGACAGCGCAACAGCCAGAATGGCCAGTCGACCAGCCGCTATGATGCACAGTGACCACCAGGGGGCAGACGCTCTATGCAGGAGCCACAGGCCCTTCCTCCTCAGTCCCTGCTGCCTCCTCTGCACACTCACAGGCCATGCAGCAGCACCACCACTGGGCTCGCAGAGCAGACCCCGGAGGCTGGGAGGTGGGTTTATGGCTGCTGCCAGACTCAGGCCTATTCCCACCCCCTCTCAGTGCTATTGTCCCTGGGCCTGGCTCCGACCTGGCCCCCTGGAGAGGCGAGTGCTCCGTGGAAGATGACAGACCAGGGGGCAGCGCTCCCACAGCGGACCTATCCCCACAGGCCACACCCCCACCAGTGCGCAAATCCCGTGCACCAGGCCTCTAGTACATATTATATGAATGTGTGTGTGTGTGTGTGTTTGTCCTGAGATATTAAGAACTTGCCCTTGGCCCCAAAGCCACAATCTGAACCCAGACCTGTCCTGTACGAGTCCAATTTTAACAAACTATGAGGCAAAGAAGAATCAGCAGATAAGTTCATTATATTTAAGGCCTGTGTTCACTGTGTTCACAGTTTTGGTACACTGACCATTATCATTTAAATGATAATGGTACAATTATCATTTAAACAGATCTTTCTTATTTGTAATTGCAAAGCCATTAATAAGCCAAAAAGGAAGGTGCTAATTTACCAACAGACACACAGCCCTGTCCACTTTGTGATTTTCATCCTGACTAAGCCTGCAAAACATTACAACATAGCTTCCGTGTATAAAAAACAAACATACACACAAACCACCACCCCATGACAGGCACCAAGATAGAGAGAAAATTATTAGCTGGCAAAGGGCAGGTTAGAAAAACAATGATTAGAGTCCTCGGGTGCATCCTGCCAGTTGGCCCTGTAGGAGCCGCCCATGGTGAGCTGTCCCTCCCTGACCCAAGGCACAATGCCCCCTGCATGTATCCGTGTGCCTGCTCCCTCCCCTGAGAGCCCTTGAGGCACAGCATCCTGCGCCTCAAAGGCATGCCTGTCCTCTCAGGATTGGGGAATGAAGGCCGGGCCATAAAGACCCTCCCCTTTAGAAACTGTTGCCACACCTGGGAGCTTGTGAGAAAAGCACCATCTCAGGTCCTGCCTAGGATCTGTGGGTAAGAAGATGCACCTCCCCTGTGCACACACCTCCCATCCCCAGTAGGGGGCGTGCAGGAGGCAGCCGGTCAATGTTTCTCAACAACGTTTCTACCTCTCTATCCCTTTCCCTTCCTCTCTGTAAAAAATCAATAAAAAAATATTTTTAAAAAGAGTTTACAATTTGTAGCTTCAACTGAATAAGTATTTGTTACATATGTAAAGCATCATAAACTTGATAAGGGGAAGTGTTTCTGCATTGTGCGTTTAGCACATTGCATGTCCACTGAATCTCCTGGAAATTGAGGGAGAAAAACAAAATAATTCTTGGTGGTACTAGAACACAACACCATTAAGAGGAGCGGCAACTGAGACCAGAGGCAGGAAGGGGAAAGAAAGGTGGAATTTCCTGCATTCACCTCCCATCCAGATGGCAAGCTACTAAAAATAATGAAAATGAAAATCTACACACTTTGCTTATGACTTTGACTTAATAATAAAACAGAGTAGATGAAACTGAAAAGCAAGTTACACGAAAATAGTCTCCTACATTTTTTTTTTCTCATGACAAAATTTAAAGCAAAAAGAAGTTCAGATGTTTGAGACAGCACGTTTCCAAACTTAGAAAAAACACTACTCATTCTTGATCTAACATCTTGTTTACCATTAATACATAAACTGAGTTAAACTGGCAGTCCATGAAAAAAAAAAAATGTGTGGGACACACCCTTCTCTCAACTCATTGTTTTCTTTTGTTGGTAACATGGGACAACATTTCAGATATGGGCAACTTCTTTATTAAATTCTAAATTAAACAATGTTGAGCTCGTCTCAAGAGAATCCATTTCTGCCTAGTGACATACACTGTGGGCAGAAATTGTATGCAGTCTTAAAGCGTAAAAAAAGTTCCTAGCATTTCCCCTTTGTTTTGAATACTATTATATATAATTAATCATCAGGAAATCAGCAAAGGCCACTGCACAGTATACAGACATAATCCACTAGGTGGCGCAATAATAAAAGAGGAGAGACTTTCCCTTCACACTTCAGTAATCAAAATAAAATCCTGCCATTCTAGCTTTTATAAGAGGCAGGGTAAATGTGCAAATAGTGAAGGGGGTGACGATCACTGAAAGGGGACAATTATACTTTTAGTTGTCGTGCCTTAACATTAAGTGGAAACACAGAAGCATATTACAGTCAATCAACACCCGACAGTGTTTCTGACCCTGCTCTTGGGCACCGTGGAATCGTCAGAGGAATAACACTTTCCAATAACTAAGGTGCTGCGGAAGAACATCATTGTCCAGGAAAAAGATACAGGAGTTAAAGTTTCACGTGGGAGGTGGAATCCATCCATCAGTTCATTCAATAAATATTTATTAAGCACCTCTTTCATACCAGGGCTTTGTACGGAGCCCTGGAGACTCAAACAGTGAGGATAATACACACGGTCCTGCCTCCCCATGCATAAATCAGGGGGCCAGCAAGCAAGTGTAGAAAGCGGGGAAGGGCGGGGGGGGGGGTGATGCCAGGGTCTCGGGAAGGATCTTGGCCTCATTAATGAGCAAAATAAGCAAAGAGTCTGAGGTACGATCAGTGGATTTGAGTCCAAACTGCTCATCTCACTAGGAAGCAGGGAAGACATGTAAGCTAGGTGGGCAGCCCCGGGCGGACACTGGAGCTGGGGAGGAGGAGAGGGAGACCTGGCCCGGGGTTCCCTGTGCAGCTGAGGCATGCTGCTCAGCCAAGCTCTCCTGTGAGGAAAGAACTATCATTTCTAAGGCAGGTTCCAAAGGCACCTTTGCAGCACGCTACTTAAGTGTGGTCAGGAAACCCGTATCAGGGCACATAACAGGAATTTTCCAGGCATTCTGATAAATGGGTGCGCACAGCAGATTAAGTCAATGGACTGAGGGAACAAATAGCACCATCCAGAGTGTCCATCTGCCTGGGTCGGTATGGCTAAATGGATTGGGTGGCATCCTGTGCACTGAAAAGTCGCCAGTTCAATTCCCAGTCATGCCTGGGTTGTGGGCTCAAGCCCAGTAGGGGGTGTGCAGGAGGCAGCCAATCAATGCTTCCCTCTCACATAGATGTTTCTCTCTCTCTCTCTCCCTCTCTCCCTTTCTCTCTCTCTAAAAAACCCTAAAAACAAAATGCACTTTGAAGCATACTTCCTTCACATTTTCACCGATGTTACTGCTTAGCCTGGAAGAAGCCTATACTCAGCACTTCCCAGCTGGCCCCTGTGGTCAGTCTGTGACCTGCCTCAACGGAAACCAGAAGCAAACCAGCCCTTTGGCACGCCCATCCACCCCCTTCTCTCTCTTTTGCTTTACCACAGCCAAGCGGGACCTCGGACAAGAGCATCCTTGTGAACCCAGAATCTTTCACAGGTCAGCATCCGGACATGACTATTACATGATGGCAATAGAACACGCAAGAAATTCTAGAGTTTTGAACCAGGGCCCTTTGAACATTTTCTTAAAGGGCCACATAGTCAATTTTTTTTAGCAGTATATAGATACTGACATAACCCTTTAAAATGTAACCATTAGCCCTAACTGATTTGGCTCAGTGGATAAAGCGTCAGCCTGTGGACTGAAAGGTCCCAGGTTCGATTCCAGTCAAGGCATGTACCTTAGTTGCGGGCACATCCCCAGTGGGGGCAGTACAGGAGGCACCTGATTGATGTTTCTCTCTCATTGATGTTTCTAACTTTCCCTCTCCTTTCCTCTCTGCAAAAAATAATATATATTAAATGAATGAATGAATGAATGAATGAATGAAATATAACCATTATAAAATGTAAGAACAATTCTTAGTGGGTAGAAACACAAACAAAAAGAACCAAACCGGCAGCTGGCTGTAGTTTGCCAATCCCTAGTTTCAACTTATGCAAAATTCAGTGGCAGATGACTAATGGCAGGTGTCTGCTCACCCCGGCCTGGTCCTTTCCTGCAAGGTGCTCACACCGGTGCCGACGGAGGTGAACACACTGTCTGAGTTTTGCTTTCCTTCCTCACCTCCACCTTCAGCAAGCCTTAGGTCTGTCCTGAGCAGCCAGTCCCTATTTATAGGGATAATAACCCTGTTTTGTTTGCCTGTGTATTTCTTTTTCTTTTTAAATTAATAACGAGTGAGTTCTTAGAGGGTACATAATCCAGAAGTCAGGTCAATTCAAAAGGTTTCTGTAACAATGGAACTTTCCTGAGGATAATTTTACCTAATCTAAAATCTGAACTTGTCTACCATTTCCAATCACGTTCTGAGGGGGAAGCTGGCCTGAGATCAAAATCATGCCTCAGATTTTCCTCAAAGTAGATAATTATCTACATGTGTGAGTATTATCAACACACGCACTGGGCAAGACTCTGCAAGGAAATGGGATGGACACAGAGGAGGGAAAACCTTGGCTCCCGACCTCCTGCTGTCGGGGCAGCTCACAGGAAGATCATGAGGATGCAGCACCCCCTGCCCCAGGCAAACCCTGTGTCAGAAGAAACTTGTTTGTAAAGACTGTAAGTTTCCAATACCCACCATCAAGTCCGACTCAATCTCATCAGAATTATATCTCCTGCATCTGTGCTGGCTGAGCATGCAACCTGGCTGAGCATACAGCCAAGAATGGGCATTCATACAGTGTCAGCCTTACCAGGGAGCACATCGAACTCATCTACGCCGGGTCCTGGGGCAGGGGGCCATGCAGGAGCAGGTGAGGAAGAGACAAAAGCACCCTGAGTAGCATTCTGGGAAGGAACAGGAAAGAAATAGCTTCTAGAGATTTCCTTTCTCTTTCTACCCCTTGGGCTGGTTGCTCTGCCTTTCAATGTTCTCCTACCCCACCCATCCAAAGGCAAACACCTGGCATCCCATAATGGCTTGCTCCATCACCAAAATGTTCTGGCTCCAAAATTCTCCCCCCACTTGTATTCCCATTCAAAACTCTCACTTGTCTGGCCCGTGTGGCTCAGTGGTTGAGCATCGTTTCAATTCCCGGTCAGGGCATGTG